CTTGGGTACACATTTTGGCCGCTAGATGTGGCCCTGACTCATTTGTCCGTGAGTGCGGGTTGATATGCAGTATACCCTGTGGTTGTGTCTGCCAGGGAGGAGAGGGCCGTGTGTGTGCAATGTGCAGGGCACGTCCTGGGGGCTTCAGAGTCTGCATGGACTCCTGCACGTGAGGCCCCAGGGCAGGGTGCGCATGCACCACATGCAAATGTGCAGGGCTGGGACCCAGAAAGGCTGTCTCAGTGCAGCATGCACGGGCACCTGCTCCCCACTCCACGCCAGCCCGCCCAAAGATTTCTTAACCTGATGGAGGGGCCCCTTGTCCCACCGCTGTTTCAGTTTTCATTTTCCTGACGACCGTGAAGTTGAACACCTAGCCTGCTCAGCAGCTCGGGTGTCTGATGGGCTGGCTCGGCACCAGGGGTGAGGGTCTGAGTCTCAGAAGGGGACCAGGTCCCACCTTCTGCCGGACGCAGAACAGGACGTGTGTGTGTTCCGCAGCGCCCGCCAGGGGCCAGCGGGCACTCGGCCTCTTGCAAAGTCTCCCCCCACAGTGCTGGAGGCAGCCAGGGAAGCTTTCAGAGCAGCAAATTTCCTGTTTCTGGCCGGTATCTGAACATCGAGATCACACTATCGATGCCTGGGTCAGGCCCATGGAAGGTTTTGCTGGAGACGGAGCCCTCCGCATTATTCTCATGTTGCAGAAACCCACGGAGGGTGTTATCGGAGCCTGAGTATGAGAACATAGGAAACGAGCCACAGAACATTAATAACGGTGGAGAACGGCCGCAGGCGGGTCCGCGCAGGGCTGTATCTCCGGGCGGGTACCAGGAAAGGGAGGGGCGCAGGGAAGGAGCTGCAGATAAAGGAAGATTATAATTGTTACTGGGAGAGTCACTTATTAATCCCAGATAAGCAGTTGTTCATTAACACAAAATAAGCCTTAGATTATCTACATTTAAATGGACTAATCTGTTGATTATGAGAACAGAACCCAGTCCCGAGTGTTTTTTCCCCTTTTCCTTTGAATCACAAAATACAATGCGCTGTTTAATTAGTGGATCATGTCTCTATGCACCTGGGTCAGACTTCCAGACCTGGCACGGGGTGCTGTGCATTCTGGTCCCGTTGCTGGAAGGGAGACTGGCACAGGATCCCTTGTAACCTGCTGCTGGCCTCACACGCGTCGGACCAAGAGCGCTCAGGACTCTCAAGTAACAGGAAGGTCCCAACCAGGCCTGTAACCCCCAGCCCCACTCGGCAGTCTTGCTGGAGAGGCCTGCGATCAGGTGCGGGCCTCGCTCCATCCCATCTGCAGGGCCCTCTTTCCAAGCACGGTCACACTCACAGGCTCTGAGCAGACGCGAACGTGGGGGACACTGCTCACCCCATCCCGGCTGTCCAGCAGCTTCCCTCCGTGGCCGCAGCCCCGTCCCCAGGAGCTGCCCCCAGGCTGCCAGGGGACAGCGGCCGCCTCTGCTGGGCCCTGTGTGCTTCGCGGCCTCCATCAGCCCTGTCCAGGCTGAGCTCTTTGGGGCCGGCCATTCTCCCCTGCCAGGGCTCTCGTCCCGTCTTCAACTACAGATGGACGTCTGTTCCATTTGACAGACAGCACTGCCTCCCGGGCCCTGAGCAAGAAGACAGAGGAGAGGGAGGCAGCTGTGCTTGGCAGGACGTGGCGGCAGAGACGTCGCAAGGGACTCTTCTCTCCACGGGAGCTGGTCTGACGCTCAGGACCTAGGACGCCCTGAGCCCCGGGCAACAGGAGGTCTGTGTGGAAAGCACTCAGCCTTCCTGCAGAATCCTTGAGTCCGAGACGCTGGAGGAGAAGACTTTGGTCTTCCTCTGGGTTCCACCGGGTGTCTCACCGGGCTGATGGCAACAGTCTGCAAGGTCTCTGAGGTGCTGGGAAACCTGCGTCCTCTCCCAATCAGCATTTGGGTCACACTCTTCAGGCTGCTGAAGCGCCAAGTTACCTGGCAGCCCCTGATATGGCGGAAAGGCCTCCGGAGGAACCGTGCGCTGGTGGACTCGTGATTTACAGAACGCATTACAGACCATCAGAGAAGAGCCGCACGGCGTCTTGAGCTAGACTGAATTCCCAGTGATATTTGGAAACAAAAAAGCCAACACATGACCATGACCACTAGACTGATTATCAGTTGGGACAGACACGGAATGCACCCTGGCACAGCGTGGGGCTGTAGTCACACCTCATTAGCATAAAATGGGCGCGCTGCATTCGCGGAGCATCGTGTGTCTCCCCTGCCCCCCTTCACTTGGGGGCTTGGAAGATGGCATCAGCTACAAGGTGACAAAATTTAGTCAGCCGGGACCGCCAGACCGCCAAGTGATGAGACGCTGTGATTGCCACCTGAGCGTCACACGTGAATCCAAGTGAATCGCGTCCACCTCACGCATCATCTGGTAACTGAAAGGAGCCTCCTTCTTGATGATTAGTGGGACGTCCCTGAGCCGCTGCGGCTCATTTGCTCAGTAAAGCTGAACGCAGAGGAATTTTGTGTGGCAGGTACCAAGCGGCAGGCTGTGCTCAGACCCGGCACTGGAGCCGTGGGAGTGTGGGGGCAGGGGGCAGAGGGCGGGGGCCCAGAGAGGCCCGTGCAGGGGTGAGGCTTTGGGTGGCGAGTGACCGGTCCAGTGGAGGTTTGGGGCGGCGTTGGGACCCGATCTCGGTTTGAACGGTGCTGTTCTGGCCGCCACGGTCAATGCAACAGGCAGGTAGGTTAGGACAGCAGGGCGGGGCCTGGAGACGGAGAGAGGCAAGTGCCAGAACCCTCACGGGCACTGACTTGTGCTGACGGAGACGGCGGTGACCCTGACGGCTACCCACCCAGCTGCCCACCCAGTGCCACCCTTAGAAGATGGGCCCCTGTGCTGTGGCCTCACAGGACATGCCCCTCCGGACCCTGCACGCCTCCCCCAGACCACAGCTTAGCTTCTCCACCCTGGAATTCCCTGCCCCAAAGTCCCTAAGCTCATGCCCTGCACAGGCATCCTCCCCGGTCTGCCCTCTGAGGACAGATGACACCTCTGGGGTGTTCGGCCCTAGACAGGAGGGCCGCCAGAGAGGGTGCTGTTGGCAGGTGCGAGGCACAGAACCTGGGCTTGAACCCGGGATGTCTACCTGAGTGCAAGGCCTGAGTGCTGAGGTTCAGCCCCGGGGCCCGACGGGCAGGGCAGTGGGCTCCACGCTGCTGGTCAAGGTACATGGCCCCCACCCGCTCCAGGTAGGAGGAGAGACCGGCCCCAAGCACACAGGTCAGGGGGACACACAGAGGTTGGCGATGGTGGGAATTCACACCCTGAACCTGTGCATGAGGCCTCCTGCGCCCTCAGATAGATCGGTGCTATTGCTCACCTCCTTCAAATCGTCTCGGGTGGGGCAGGCTGAATTCCGCCCCCCAAAGATGCCCACTTCCCGATCCCTGCGGCCTGTCATCATGTCCCCTCACCCTGCAGGTGCGGTTAAGTGAGGGCGTTGAGGGGAGACTGCCTGGTGGGCCCAGCAGCGTCCTTGTACGCAGGAGGCAGAGACGAGCGAAGGTGGAGGCAGGGGCTGTGCGCAGCCATTAGAAAGTGGAAAAAACTCGGAACAGAGTGTGTGCACAGCCTTCGGACAGGAACACCCTGCCCACGCCCTGCTCTCAGACGCCTGGCCCCCTGCACGGCGGGGGGACACATTCCTGCTTCTTCAGCAACGGGAAGCCAGTCCACGCGGTGTCCAGGTCTTGGAGGCTGCCCTGCAGGGGGTCCCTGCCCTCCAGACCCCAATAAGCCCCCTCCCCGGTCGTGCCAACACAAAGGTCTCCAGGCTGCCCGACGCCTCCTGGGCGGCCACGATGCTCTGTACTATCCCTCCCAGTGACGTGAATCCATCCAGCATGGGCAGAGCCCCGGGGACACAGCCACGGATTCCCCGCCCAGCCACCACCGATTCACCCACCACCCCCACGTCGTCCCGAGGATGGAAGGCAGGGTGGGACAGACACGTTCTGTGCCTTCAGAGAGCTCAGGCCCTGTCTGTGCGCTGCACAAATGCATGATTACGTGGTAGGACCTCCTTTCCATCGGGTGCTGTCCTAAATCTAGAGCAAACGGTGGACAGCAGACTGGTCAGAGCCAGCCTGGGCCCTGCCTTCAGGGAGGTCGAGGCAGGAGTGTACAGAGCAGGGGTTTCGGTAAATTCACAAGGGTGTGTTATCATCACACAAATTCCAGAATGTTCCATCACCCCAAAGAAAAGCCATCGCTCCCCATTCCCACCTCACCCAGACCCCGCCAGCCACGAATCTGCTTCCCTCTGAGAGCCAGCAGTTTCCCCCGGGGGGAGGACGGTCCCTTCTTGATGAGGGAGGGTGGGGACTGCTGTGCTCGTACCCTCTCGGTACCGCACCCCAGGACCAGAGGGGATGATTAACTTAGTCTCCCATGTTCAAAAAAAGTTTCCTCAACGAGAATTCATTCAGCTTAACTCTGTGCCATCAGCAGCAAATCAACCCCCCCCCCATGAAATACTGACAGGGATCCCAGCTCCTCAGGAATGCATGAAGGGCCCCCAGCTCCCTGCACCCTGATGAAGCAGCCTTCTGACTTAGCTATTCTCTTTATAACAAAGGTTTCTCTTTATAACAAAGGTGAGGAACAGCTTAAATTCATAAGGTTTGAGAAGCCCACGTAGACACCCCGGGGCCTCAACCTGAGGACGCTGGGTTCCCACTCCGAGCCCCGCCCACCATCTCTCGCTCAGCTGATTCAGCATCCTAAGAAATGGGAATGTATAACTGGTTTCACGGGACCGCTTCCAGAAACATTTGGATTTTGTTATTTATCACTTTTGATATCATCCACAGGGTGAAAACAGCCCTGAGGGCCCTGAATGTGGGCGATGGCGTCAAACAGTCTCAACCCCTGTCCGCTTTACGGTCCCGCAGTCCCTCAGCCCACTGGCCCTAAGGGATGCAGAGGGGTCCCTGTCCTACCTTTAGGACCTGTTCTAGATTCTCCAGCTTGGCTTGGAGCTGATGCTTCTCCTTCACGGCCAAATCGCGTTCTCTGGTCACTACGGCAAGCGCGTGGTGGAGCCAAGCATGCTCCGCTCTCACCTACGGGGAGGAAGGGCAGAGAGAAGGGGCTGTTGGCGGCACGCGCAGCGGCTGGCATCGACCACCTCCTCTTCGGGGTTGTGGGGAGCCTTCCCCTCCCTCCCTCGTCCTGGATCGTGGACTCCGCGGTGGGTCCAGTCCTGCCGGGGCGAATGCATGTGCACAACCAGCACCCAGCATCCCCTCCCCCCCTGCCTCCCCCAATCACAGCGGCAGCGATGGGCTTGGGAACGGGACTGTGTGGCCCGGGCCGGCCAGTCAGCGCAACCCCATCCCCTGCATATAGTGATTGCTGGGGAGGGACCCAAGACCCAGCTGCACCCACGGAGAATGAGACATTGGACCGGTAGAGAAGCGTGGGAAGCCTCTCCCTCTTTTGTTCACTGGACTTGGAAAGTTGAGGACACAAGGCTGGAGCTGGAGCCATTGTGGGGGAGAATCCAACTGAGAATGGAGCCAACGAGATGGACGTAGAAACAGGATCCTGAGGACATAATCTGAGCACCTAGATCAAGCTGCGCCTGAAGCTAATATTTCCTTTCCACTCACACAGGCCAATAAATTCCCTTTGTTTGCTTACACCAATCTGAATCATTTCCTGTCCCTTTGAATGGAGAACCCTAACACATGCAAGTGTTATCCAAATTGTTCAGGATACTAATGCTTTTGCCTAAAAATTTCACTTTTGTCTTAAAAGTGCATAAAAATGGTGACAAGCCTCCATGTGTTTTAGGATGATGGAAGTCCTAATAACCTCAGGAGCCGTGTGCACTCTCAGACCACAGCTCCCAGGACCGTGTTCTGACCTTAGGTGGGAGGCACCGTCAACTCTCCGTCTCTCTCCTACGGCTCCTCTGAAAGCAGTAAGGACATGCAACTGAGGAGGGAAGATACCTCGGTTCCTTCCCCATTCGTTTTCACTGTGCAGCATGTTTGAACCCAGCCACAGGCTTTTCATTTCTTTCCCTCCTCCCGGATCTTACGACATGAATTATGGCTTCAATAACACACTGCCACGAGTCATATTTGTCAGCTCCAAAAGATGCCCTTTCTGTTCCAAGCACTCTGTGTACAGACTACGAGCTCAACCTGACAGTTTTTGTGGCGCCCGAAGAAAGGACAGCCCCACGTGGCGCTCCTGAATGGCACGGGGTTGTGGGGAGACTGTTATTAAGGGGTCAGGGAGAGGTCTGAGTCACAGGGGTATTTAAATGCCGTTCTGCTCCAGCGTGAAGCATCAGGCAGCAAGCTTGGAAAAAAAAATTGAAATGCTGCAGGTGAAAAAGTCATGAGCGATTTGAACTCACACTTGAACTCAGACTTGAACCCCAACACTCGGGCACAGGTTCGCCGGAAGCCACCATTTCCCATGTTCTAACTCGTCAAGAGCAACGTCCGGGGCTCCATGGCCAGCCTCCCACAGCAGCCAGCATGCACCCCGATGTAAATCGGGGCTTGCCTCCCTCTGATTGAAACCTTCTGTGGCTGCCATGGAAATTAGAACTGGGTCCAGACTTCTGCACACTTCTGCAGCGTCTGGCCCTCCAGCTGTCCCATCTGACCTGCTGCCCCATACCACCACTCACTCGGGCTGCCCTGGTCCTCCTTTTTATCCCAGAAACAAGCCATACTCATTCCTACCCCAGGGCCTTTGCACGTGCTGTCTGCCCACGGCAAGTACCTATCCCCCCCTTCCCCTGACCCTGGCGGGTCTGGCTCCTTCTCATCATTTATGCCACCTTCTCAAACAGGCCCTCCCACCACGCTCCAGGTGACGAAACCCTTCCCACTCGTCTGCCCCCAGCGCCCTTGCTGCTTGGCCGTGCTTTATTTCCCACAGGCATTTCTCACTATCTGTGCAGCTGTTTATGTTTCCCTGCGGTTGCTCCTCATTAGAGTCGAAGTCCCGGTTGGACACGACTTGTCCTTGTGACCCAATTCTCTGTCACTGGAGCCTGGAAGGGAGCCTGGTGCAGTCAGTGCTCCAGGAATGGGAAGGCACCGGGCGAGCACGGGCACATGCAAGGCGGCTGTGTTCCCGGCCGGATGGATTTTGCTGGTCCCTCCTGGTCTACGGTCCACCCACACTCACGGGCTCCAGGCCTCAGGAGGTCAGTCTCCCAGACCATACAGTTCCTGATGAGCTCTGGCCAGCAGGAGGCACCAGCAGGAAGGCAGGGGCTGAGGAGAGGCAGGTCGGTGTTCCTGCCAGCAACCTGCAGGGGTGGTTTGTGCAGGGAAGCGCTCTCTCGGCAGGCCCGAAGCTGCTGTCCCTGGAACGGCCTGCTGGCAGGGCTGGCTGGTGGCCGGCGACTGGGAGTTTGGATCGCAGTCCACTCCCTATTCCCGATTCCCTAACTGATGGGAGGGCCTGCCTGTGTCCAGACTCTTTGTGCACAGCATGTGGCTTCTGCTGAGCACCTGCTCTCCTTCGGGGAGGCGGGGATTTGGGATGTGCCGGGGGAGTACGACAGCCCCCTCGACACTCCGGGCACCGGGGCTCTGCTGGGCTCCCTGGGACAGCCCTTCACGCGTGCGGTGACGCCTGGTGCTGCTGGAACTGAGCTCGTTCCGGCTGACTCCTACGGGAGGCTCTGGAGGCTGGAGGCTGGCCACCCCTGGATCTTCCTTTCCCTGCACTGACTGTACTTTGTATCTCACTGGTGATGGATCATAGCCATGAACATGCTTGTGTGCTGAGCCCTGCAAGCCTTCCCAGTGAATCACGGTGCCTGGGTGGTCTTGGGGACCCCGACACAGCGTCCTCCCCCCACAGCCACAGGTCCACTAGGAGAGCCTCTCCCTCGCACCCTCTCCCCACAGCCCTGCTGCCCCTGCCCAACCTGCACGCGTGTGTCTGGAGCCTCCAGAACGCGCCGGACCCGCTCTCCCATGGGGACACTACACGTGATGGTCAGCGAAGATGTGGGAGCATCAGGCCTGTCCGGAAACCCTGCACACCCCGCATGGAGCCAAAACGCTGTGCTCTGGTACCTGGAAATACTGCAGGTCACTGCAGTAACGTAAGAGAAGGGGATACTATGGGGGAGACCCGAGTGCACTGGTCTTGCAGTCCGTGTTCTGAAGGGAAGTGGACGAGGAGGAGGGAGGAAATGCAGGGGCATCGGGGCGAGGATGCTCTAGGAGCTGTTGGCATTAAGAGACCTCATCTCACACCAGGACCTCAGTATTTCTCTGCCCTACAAGTCCCCATAGTGTCCCCCACGTGTTTAGCAGAATGAGTAAGGTCATTCGTCTGGTCTTTCCAAGGACGGAAAGATCTGTTGGTGGGCGGGGAGGTGGGTGAGGCGGTGACTGGGGATTGACTGAGGCGGGCTGAATAACGACCCCGCGGAGGCGTCCGCGCCCGCGTCCCCAGAACTGGGGACTGCGCTCCCTTACACGGCAAAACGACTCTGCAGAGCTGAGTCCGGGCCCTCGTCCTGGACGGTCCTCGCAGGGCCAGTGGGATCACAGGGGTCCTCACAGGAAGGAGATATGGGAGCATCAGGGTCAGAAAAGGCAGATTTTTGAAGATGTGGTTCTGCTGGCTTTGGGTGGAGGAAGGGCCCACGAGCCAAGGCCTGTGGGTGTTTCCAGGAGCTGGAAAAGGTGAGCAGATGGCTTCTCTCCTAAAGGGGTGCAGCTTGCCCACACCTTGGTTTGGGAACTTCTGATGCCAGGCAGCCTGGTGACCCAGGTGGAGACTCCGGGTGACGCTGAGCCGAAATCTCTGGGGCACAACACAATCTCGTGAACGCAGGACTTCCTGAGAAAAGCTTTGTCTCCTCTTCTTGCAGTAACAGTGAGGATGCTCAGGGATGGAACAGCCACCCTGTCGTGGACATCGTAACAGTCGTGGCCTGGGGTGCCTGGGCGGCTCAGTCGGTGAAGCGTCTGACTTCGGCTCGGGTCAGGCTCTCTTGGGTCCTGGGTTCGAGTCCTGTGTCGGGCTTCCTGCTCAGTGGGGCGCCCGCTTCTCCCCCTGCTCCTCCCCTGCTCATGTTCTCTCTCTCTCTCTCTCTAATAAATAAAATAAAATCTTTAAAAAGCCCACAACAGTCATGGCCCCAGCAGGATGGCACTGGGGGTTGGGGGCAGGAGCTGTGTCCTTGTCTCGGGCTCTGGACGTCCTGCTGCATGAGAACAATAATGCTCCCGGTGTTCAGGCCACCGCCCTCGGGTCCCTGCTGCACGCAGCTGGACAGAATCCCAGATGACCAACCCAGCAGAGAAGATGTTCTTTCTGGTTTGGAAACAGCTGATCCCGCCTGGAAATACATGCCTCCAAATAAAAAGCACTGAGGGGCTGCTGGCCCGGCTGGCGCCTCAGCCTCACCCGCTGCCCAGTGGCTTTTCCAGCCCTGCGGGTGCCAGGAGCCTCCATGGAGGGGCCCACGGGCTTACGGGTTACCCGGCCCTTCTGCCCGCCGCCAGAGCTCGAAGCTAGTCACGTCCCCCAGAGAGAGCGCTCCCGGGGGGCAGCGCCCGCCCCCGCCACACCGGCACTGGGACCAGAACATCCTCCTGGGAACCGAACCGGGGCTGGAGAAAGAAGTCTCAGAAGAGCAAAAAGGACAGAAAAAGGTTTCCTCTAAGACACAGAACTGTGACCCCACAAAAAACAAAGATAGGAAATAGGAAAAGTTCCTAGATGTTCAAAGTCAGGGGCCCAGACGATTCGTCCTTTGCTCCCGTCTGATGGGAAGCTGTGCGCGCTCATAGAAGATTTTGTTTTGAGGAAAGACAGATGGTACAGAGGCACGAGCCGTGGGCCAGGGGCCTCTCCCTGCAGCCAGGGTCCCCAGCCCCACAGACCCCAGACGTCTGTACCGGTGTCGCCCTCTGAACGCCCATCATCTCCTATTAGAGGAAGAGGGAGAACAGCTGGTGAGTTGAATGACCCCCGTTCACACCAGGGACTGAGGACTGGACCCACTGAACACC